TAACCCTGATTGAATCCAGTGAATAACCTAACCTTGTCCATGATACCAGGTAACCCTATTTCAATACCATGACAAATATATGACTTGTCCATGATAACCCTTATTTAATCCCATCACAAACTTAGCCTTGTCCATGATAACCCTTATTTAATCCCATCATAAACCTAGCCTTGTCCATGATAACCCTTATTTAATCCCATCATAAAGCTAGCCTTGTCCATGATAACCCTTATTTAATCCCGTCATAAAGCTAGCCTTGTCCATGATAACCCTTATTTAATCCCATCATAAACCTAGCCTTGTCCATGATAACCCTTATTTAATCCCATCATAAACCTAGCCTTGTCCATGATAACCCTTATTTAATCCCATCATAAAGCTAGCCTTGTCCATGATAACCCTGATTTGAACCAATTACAAATATGTCCTTGATTTTGTTATGGTAGATTCATGTTAACCCACTCTTTTTGCAATGATTATCTTAACCTGGCTCCACAAAACAAATTATGTCTTATAATTATTGGATATTACCCTGATTGGAGTTGAAGGACAGACATCTCAAAGGCTTTTAATGTTATAAACTTCAGCTGGATCCTTGACAAATGACAGTTTTATGGGAAAGAATCTTCTCTTCACCTTGGCATCATTTAATAGTTTACACACTCTGGTCCTTTGTGAGCTTTTCCGAGACTGAGATACCCTGATCTCACTCAGTTACAGGTAATAGATTTCTTTTATCACACCTACTACTCTGAAAATTATTCAATATTGAATCAGAGTTTGGCATGTCCAGTTGCAGCCTCAAAATACCCACAAAGCCTCTTCACTTTTAAAACATGTTTGGATAGTGCCGCATACACAATATAGGCCGCACATACAAAAAAAACACATTTTACAGTGAAGATCTATTTTCTGTTTCATTTTTAATATGATTAATTAAATAGAATATCATTGAAATTTAACAACGACATAACCTACGTTTTTGATGAAATGCGTGGGTGTAGGTGCCACAAAAACGCACGTAAGGGTACAGGACAGATCGGGCAAGATAGAAAAATCCAGCATGCAGTATTATGTGGATATCCCTGTCTGAGGTGCAAGAAAACTATTTCTTTGTCTCATTTTTTTTTAATTTTTGTATCCCGTAATGACCCTATACCAATATGACCCTATACCAATATGTCCATATTCTTGTCCTGGCCATGGTCATGACAAATGTATCCTTGTTCAAAGACTTTGATTGAAAAATGAAAGCTTTTACAAGATTTTAGTTTTTTTTTTTTTTTGTTTTTTAAATTTCACTTTTTCATTAAATTAAGGACTTGAAAAAAAATTTCTACTGAAACAATTGCATGCACAGAATTTTATGGATCAGAGTTATGGGAACTTGATTATTTGCTATAAAAATTGTTAAATGAAGAAAAGATGGAAGGGATTTGTCTGTGTTGACAGCTTCAAAGAACCTTTAAGTCTAAGTTGTGACTTTCAATATAAAAGGAAATTATTTGCAGAACATTTCCTTGTTGAAATTTTCAATTATATCACAAAATAATACTCAAGTGTCCGTTTTAATAGAGAGAATGGAACTCCATCATTTCAGTCAGTGTACACATAATTGAATTCCGATTTGCACCTATCAACTCAAACTACAAATCAAATTACAAGCTTTATTTTACCGTCACAAAGATCACAGACTTTGTGTAATCACTTATGCTTCCTGTCAGTTGCTTTGCTTTTTTTTTTAAATGTTGATGGATCTTTCTTTGGAGTTTTTTTTTGTTTAACTGCAATGCCTGCTACTCCATACATCCTTCACCCAGTGGTAGCCTTAGAGTGCCACCTATGGGAAGTATGCAGTATTGATGAGTTGGATCACAAATCTCTTCTAAGCTATTCACATCACTCAATTAAAAGGAATAAACACATCACTTGTAAGTGTATAATTCCTTGTAATGATCTTTTCAGCTTATATTGTTTCTGACTTCGTCATGTGGAGAGTTTCAAATTTGTAGGAAATGTTTACACACATTCTGTATTTGATCAGTTGGTAATGGAATGTCTTAAAGTGTCAAAAAATATGATGCCTATCATGTCAGCAAACCAATATCAGATTTTCCCCTTCACTCCAGTACAAAGTACTGTGTATTTAAGGGTATTCTGTAGTCCTTTATATTATATGACAGTAAAACCCATTCTTTAAAGCCAATGGATATTTGCTGTGAGATCATATATTTTCATGAGGCTCTTGTTGTTTATTTGTTTTTTTTTTTTTTTTTACAAATCACTATTTTGTGGAAATTTGATTTTTCAGTTCATGAACATCTGAATTTGAGGATCCAAAGTATCCATGAAATCAACGAAAAGAAATCTGCCACAAAAATGAATGACAACAATTAGTTAATTAGTTGAGATTTTTCTTCCCTAAGTAACAAATTGTGTTCAGCATGTCTCATTGCTTATCATCAATAGCAATCATTTCTCTGAAGTTGAAGAGGGTTATAATACTTAGTTTTTTTCTGAAAATGACAATTATATGTTGGGTTAATGTGCTTCAAGATATGAATGATATGAATTAGTTCACCGATCATATAAAATATCAAAATGTAGAATTAATTTACTTGAAGTGTTTTTGATATAGAGAGAAATATCAGATTGTTGAAATGCACAGGTGTGTACTTGAAGATATATGTGTCTTTTTATATAGAGGTGAAATCAGTGTATTTATAATGTTTGTGTTGAATAACATCCTAGGGGGGAAGGAAGCTATGATTTAAATTGTGACCATGTTTTTGTATTTGAGCTTAGTGCTGTGGGTGTGATAACAGTGGGCGTGGTCAATTGCATGTAGGTGTGGATGTTCATTTGATAGTTATATGGGATTCATTTAAGCACTGGAATGAAAAAGTTTATTTATGTCTATATCAAGATCATATAGTTATTTATAGCTTTTAAAATGGCTTGCTGCGTCATTGAAAATAGGGAATATAGAGGAATGGTGTATTAGATATGTAACAAAGCACTAGGGTCAGTCATGATTGACAGGTTTTCAACAAGGATATAGTCTCCATCCTTATCACATCCAAGTCATGATGGTTATGCACTACAGGGTGTTGGTCCATCACCTCATCCTAGTCTCCCCCAATCTATCAAAGCTCCATCCTTTATGGGAAAGTACATCGCATGCATGATGTTGGTAGGGAAATACTTGTTTACAGATAAATGATATAAGTTTGATGGAAGACGATATATACACCCATGTATCATGTGATCCAGACTTCCACCATATCAGTTCTAGATGTCAGCATTTTCCAAAGGTCATTCAATCATACTTGAAATAAGTCTTGGGTTTAGTATTTTCTTGAAGTGTAACTGTAAACATGAAACAAGTCTTTTGGCTCAGGTTTAGTATTGTCATGAAGTGTATATGTATTGCTTGAAATATACAAGTTTACAGACTGTTTTGAGTTCAGTTTAATGACCACGGTAGTTATAGGCAGTTAAATCACCAAGTCTCTTGTCAACTAGAATATACAGTGAAATAAGACTTGTCCTTACGTTTAAGACCTAACCTATATAAAGAAGAAATGAGACTGAACATTTTTACCTAGTTCTGGAAATTGATGCGATATGTCAGTTTTAAATGAAGGGGAGATAATTTTGACAAACAATGTGAAATTGTGGGTTTTGTGGATAGGCGTTGTGGAAGGTCTTTTTGTGCTTTAGGTAAAACAGGTAGGTGTGGTTTGATAATCATTGTTTGTATCCGTGAATAACCAGGTAATGTAGAAGGCCATTATTTGCTATCCATTTTTTTTAACAAGACATTAATTTATACTTAGAAATGATTTTTGCACATTGCAAAAAATGTAGAAGTTGGTTAAACTGTAATTATCCAGCAGTCACAGCTATCTTACCATATGCTGCCATCTGTATGATACTGAGGCTGAATTGTTACCCTACCCAGGGGCAAATCAAAATTTCTATCAGCAATAGGGAAACATGGTTCACTTTTCTATGCAGAAATGGAATTGTAATTATCTACATCTGGTTTATAATTTTGTAAAAGCACAATTGATTCCTAATATATTACCTACAGTAAATCTGCATTTTTGAAATCATAGATAAATGGCAGCCCTTAAATGATATACCTCTGGCATACAGAGAATGGCTAGCGACAGAATATAAAAGCATTGCTCACTGTCAGATAAATAAGACATTAATGGAGATGGTAAGACTGCCTGACATAGTGGTATTGGAGTAATTGGTAATTGTTTCACAATCTTTCATTTGAATGATTCTGATTATAAAACACATTGTCCTCAAACATTTCTAGATTGATTTCATCCTGTCCTACTGACAATATTTGACATCCAAATTAATTTATCTTTAATTTGCTCTTAAAAAGTCATATTTAAAGGTTTCATATGTTTTTAACATTTTATTTGGAGAAGGGGAGGGCTAAGTAGATCAAACCTGTTTGAGACTGGATTACTTGTCAGCTGGTTTGTAAAATGTCTTTGAATACAAGACTACAACTTTACCTTCTACTTGTCAGGTGGATATAGCAAGGGGATTGCTTCAAGGTCTTACAACTAAGATCTGATATTCTGCTTCAGTGCTTTTGATTGTTTCTAAGATTAATGTGACGCTACTTCAGGTGAATTAGTGCCACGGTAATGATTCCTTGTTCCGGGTACAGATGGTAATTGTGTTCACCAATTACTATCCACGTGAATAAGGTCCTGCTTGATGTAATCATTAAATAAACTAGTTATTTAATGTTTCGATATTATAATTAGTTCTCTTTAATAGAAGCCCACTCCCTACAGGGATGTCTGCTCAGATATTCTGAATCTACATGTGTTTCATTCTATCAATTTCCTGTACGTGTTGCGTGTGTGATATTGTTGCTGAGATGTGCAGTAAAGCATACACTGGGAGTTGTGGGCGTATAACAGAATGATGGTCAATGATTGATGAGACTATTTTTACTGCTTCAGGTAGCCTGACTGAATGTCATCAAAGTGATTAGAGGGACAAAGTATGCTAAGGACTCCTGCCCTGCTTCTGCTGCTGGCACCCCTACTACTTCAGCTTGCAGGTGAGCTTAAAATTTTTGTTTTAAGTGCCCACGCAGGAGACCATGTGATGGTTGTTGGATGGATTTATGATGATAGGAGTAGTAGGTCATGTGGTCCGTTAGGAATTTTTCCGATAATGCTACCATATGCAATTATTATTGTTTGATGGCAGTAATGATTGAATTATGGGTACGAAACATGCAAATGTTTATTGAACTGGATCATCAAGTACTACAAGGATAAACAGCAATATTTTTGTTGCAAGAATGATAGATCACACTTTTGGCTGAACTGTATCATCTGTAGAATTCTTCACAGACAATAATAATTACCAATAATCTTGTTAATTCTGTTTAACATGCATACATGACATGATATTTATGTTCAAGAACATTGTAAATCAGACCTAATACAGATATAACCTGTGTGAAAAAATTAAGTGTGGTCAATTTAAACTATCAATACATTTAGTTGATTTCCACTTAGTATGTGCAGTTCTGTTCGACCATTTTGACACAAAGGTCATAAGCTGCTTCTTCACACTTACAGTTGAACCCTAGCTTAATCACTCTTTGTCAGCCATTTCATCATCACTTGTTACATACATTGGCTTCAACATTGATGCATTACATACTTTTGTTTCAACGTTGGTTGCATACATTGATTGCAAAGCTAGGGTTGGTTAACAATGTTCTATCAACTTTTTCCAGATTAAGATGTACTTGATTTACCTAATGGTAAACATCCTCATCCATGACAGTTTTGTCATGCCATGGCCATGTCATGGTGTCAGTGTACAATTAAAAAAATTCTACCTTCAAAGCATTGCAACAATATTGTATATATAAATCAGCCTACTAACCCTTGATGGAGGATTCCTTAGTTGCTAAATACCGTATTTTACTGCAAATAAGCCCCCACACCCAGTTAAAAAAAGACTGTCAAAAGAGGGGAGGGGGCTTATTTGCAGGCAACCTCCCTGTTCACGAGATGTACGTACGTCCGCCATCTTGGATTTTTCGTCATTAGGAACGATAACTTGGCCTAACTGTCATCAAAAATAACCCAAACACAAAAATAGGATCAATAATTTTATCAACAATATAACAAAATATACTTAATAGCTAATCCTCCGGCCCGAATCCTCCGAATAGGAATTTCTCGTCATCGGACTCGTCTGAATCAAATCAGATGCTGTGGGCCCGTGTCGCATCAAGTTCCTGCTTGGTACTTGGCAAGCTTTATAGATGTCAATGTTGACCGACCCCATAAGGTTGATGTCCCATGTCACTCTCAAGGGGTTATGAAATATTCTGTTAAAGACCACTGTGTTTGTCTTGTGATATTTGAGGAGATCTCAGGATACTGTACCTTTTTTTATGCACCCTGAGCGTATAGTCGCCAATGCGCCCTTCCAACTGTCCATCCTTTCATGTCCGGACCATAACATTGCCCACAGTTAAACAAAGGTCATGGAATTTAGTGTATTCATTGGCCATACTAAGGTGATTGACAGTGTAACAAATTCATGGCCCTCGGCCCTCAGTTGCCAAGTTATTATACCCCCCGCAACGAAGTTAGGGGGGATATACTGGAATCAGGTTGTCCGTCTGTCTAGGCGTCCGTCCGTCTGTAGACACATTTTGTCCGGCAAACTCCTCCTAAACCTGTGAACCGATTTTGATGAAACTTTACAGGAATATTAAGGATCATGTGTAGATATGCATGCCCCTTTCTTTTTTTCGAAAATTTTGGTTGCCATGGTAACTGGTCACTATAAACAAGTTTTCTAATAAATGTCCATAACTCCTCAGTTATTTGACCGAATGTATTCAAACTTACTTAAAAGATGTAATTCAGTAAGGCCAATAATTGGACATATTAGACGTTTCCCAAACTAATACCGCGGAAACACAATCCTGGCCTCTGATTGGTCAAAATTTAGATATTGTCCAATTTTGACTAAATTTGGTATATAGGGTTATTAGTGGATGCCAAACATTATAAAATAGGTTTCGTTGCCATGACAAACATGAGTGTTTAGTGTAAATCAAGAACGTAACGGCAGACATTTTTTTGTCTCTGTGGCCCTTCAGTGGAAAATATTACTTCAATAAAGATGTAAGTATTGCAAGACTCTCTTGATCATGAACAACATGTATTCCACCCCTTCTGATTTCCAGAAATGCAGGCACATGCAGAATATGTCAATTACTCTCAGAATAACACTTTAACTTATCCATTGACTCGTTGTAGTGTGCGGGGGGGTATTGGTCAGCCATCTAGGCGACAATTCTAGTTTCCCCTTGTTCAAACCTCTTGCCAGCAGTATAACTTTGCTTATATTAAAGTGAATATTGAATCATGTTGGATTCATTGATCATACTAAGATGATGAGCAGTGTACAAAATTCAGAGTCTTCAACCCTTAATTACAGAGTTATTGCCATTTGTTAAAATTTTGTGTGAAGAGAACAACTTCAAATTGCTTTCATTTAAACTCATATAACTTGGTGTATATATTGGTCATACTGAGAGGATGTACAATGTATTTAATTTCAGTGCCTGAAACTACTTAATTACAGAGTTCATGCCCTTTGTTAAATTTTTGTTTCCAGTTACTCTGTAAGTCCTTTTCAGGGGGCATTCATCAGTTTCACTGATACTCTTGTTTTTTATGAGGACATTTGACGCACGATGATTGTGCAGTCAAGGTCTTGGTTGATTGGTGATAGACTGGCATTCTGGAATAAAATGATAAAATCAAATCTCTGTACATCAAACCCAAATACTGTGAAATGTCAGTGTGTGTAGTACAGTTGTAACTGTTCAGCTTAGAAACAACAAAAAACTAGGTCACACAATGATGACCCATTATTGTGCAACTACCGTTTTAATCCACTGTTTTGCAAAATATTCAGAATTAACTTCTATTAAAACTTTTACTGTACAAACGTATATTTGAGGAGAACTACTATATCAGGTACCTATATCACTTTCCTAAAACCTCCACGTGTGTGCAAATTCATGCATATTAGTCTTATTGTGCTTCCTGTGTCATTTTTTTATCATGGTTATACTTTGTGTGATACTACAGAGCATAGGACACATACAGCAGGTTCCAGTCAAGACCAACATATATCTTAAAAATCCATTTTACTAAAGCTTTAGGGGTTGAACCGTTAGTGCTTAATGTTAACCACTTGAACTTTGCTTATAAAGAGTAAATTGGATAGCTATATACCATATGCAAGCATTATTTACCAAGTCAGGGAACACTTACACAACAGAAAATTCATGTATAACGTTTTACTGAATGTACATGGACAGCCAGGAACCAGATACAATGAAAATTGTTGCTGTCTTAAGCAATAGGTGATGCAGTCTGTCAAAGTCACTACATTTCATATAGTGATGAGAAATCCTGTGGTGATATGTTGGTTTGATGCTCATGCTGTGTTTTAGCTTCATCTCATCAGCAAAACCACTGTACAAACATGATAAAAAATTGTGTATTTTCTTTCTTTTTTGGAGCTTAACGTCCTTGCTCCGGTTATAGCGGACCCTAGGCAACAAAAACAAAAAAAAAATAGTGAACACACACCTGTCCATTTCATATATCAAGGTAGACAACTCTGTTGTTGTGGAACTTTTGATGTATGTGGTTAACATGTCTTTAATGAAAGACATAACATACCCACCTATTTTGTCATATACTCTCTAATGAGGCGACAATAGATCTAGTACATGTTTGTATGACCATATACATCTTGAATGCCTAGCATAACTGTGGCTTGTCTTTCTTCCCAGCATTGTCTTACCGCCCCTTAGTCAACATTTCATTGTGTTAACATATTGTAGTGTAGAACAATAACAGACAGAAATAAATAGAACCAAATGGCTTAAACATGAAGAAAGCATATACATTTACATGATAGGTATTCTGAAAGTATTAATTGCAGTTTTCATGAGAGGAGTGGTATGTGGGACAAACTGGGTGAGTTACTTGGGGCACAATTTGACACCTAGTATTTCTTCTTGTTGTTTTCACAATGTGATGATCTTGATCCACTTCCTCTGATCTTTACATTCATGACAGTCACCTTTACATCACTGAACTCCCTGATAGTATCATCCTACGTCAGTATCATCCCACGTCATTCAGTGACAGTCAAGTTTTGTACAGGATATCATTGGTTAAGAGGATGGTTTTAACCAGCCCACAAAGTTAACGAGCTACGAAAGCTTTATAGTCTTCTCATAATATTGTGATTATAATTCACATATTGATATCAGGAAACAGTTTTGCCGTAAGCTACTCCATTTCAAAAGCTTGTACATTAAGTAAATATTTTACATTTTTGACAAATTTTGTAAGTCAATTGATAGGTGTATTTCCCCTTATAGCTGGGGCATGATGAATTATACATAAATACAGATAGTTTGACATTCATTACTGAGAGCATACGTGGAAACCTGTGTTGATCATTAGAGGACACCTGCAAAATCATTACCTGAGGCAACTTTACACAACATTTTGGGGATATCAGGATTGATGCTGACAAACAAGTCTCCTGAGCTGAGGTGCCTGGTGGTTGAGTAGTTAAGACATCTGACCATCCTTATTTCACTAGCACCGCTGTGTTTGTGGCCTACCTGGGGCAGTGGCCAAACCTGGCATATCCTTAAATGACCCTGGCTGTTTATAGGGCATTAAGTAACAATAGACTTAACTCCTGAGAAGACTGTGCTGGATGTTCATCCATGTTGGACCATTTTATTATTTATTAGTGGAGTAAACAAAAGAAGTAAATCAATAAAACTTTTAAGTTTAGTGTTTTATGGTCAATGAAAACTTTGGATTATGGATGGACAGAAGATGATGTTCCTTATTACTATGTTAGTTGTCCTGTTTACGGGATGTGAGTTCAGAGGTCTGTCAATAGACTGTGGGATGGACACAGGAAGTAGGTACACTTTACAAGTATATCAGCCTTACTTTCTGTTACTTATTTACATGT